TCCGGGAGGGCCGGCAGCTGCAGCAGCACGACTTCACCTCGCAGGTCTTTCCCCGAACCCCCGACTCCGCCCAGTCTGCAGAGATGGTGGTTTCTAACCACCCTCCTCTAACCCCTCCTCCAGATATTCTCTCTGGGCTACTGTCCGACCGGTGAGTGGCTGGCCGTGGGGATGGAGAGCAGCAACGTGGAGGTCCTGCACGTCTCCAAACCCGACAAGTACCAGCTGCACCTCCACGAGAGCTGCGTCCTCTCCCTGAAGTTTGCCTACTGCGGTACGCACGCGCCTTCACTCCATCTGAGCCATTCCAGAAACTTCACCTAATGACAGAAGCAGGACATTGGAGAACCCCCTGGGTTCTCCACATCCCACCTCCCTGAGCCTTTCCTTACTAAGAGTTGTGTGCCTTTTGTCCTGCAGGTAAATGGTTCGTGAGCACAGGAAAAGATAACCTACTGAACGCGTGGAGGACGCCCTATGGATCCAGTATATTCCAGGTAGAGCACCAAACCCTGTCTCTCTATCGAGGTTTCTGCCATCTTACGGGAAGGTTTTTCCTTCCCTGTGTCGCCTAGTGCTTGCTCTTGGTGGGAATGGTTGGTGGGGCGGCACGGTGGTGTGGTGGCTAGCACCGTTGTCTCTTAGTAAGAAGGTGATGGGTTCAAGTCCCAGGGGACACGACACAGGACCTTTTTGGTTGGAGTTTGGCCTTCTTCCACAGTCCAAAAACCTGCATGTTAGGTTGATTGGACATTACCAAATTGCCCTTAGGAATGTGTGTGGTTGTTTGTCCTGTGTGTGGCCCTGCGCTGGACTGGCGGACTGTCCAGGGTGTACCCCGCCTCTCGCCCGTTGACCACTGGGATAGGCTCCAGGTCTCCACACGACCACAATAGGGAATAAGCACCTGCTCCGTTTGAGATGACTGTTGTTGGGATTTGGCGCAATAGAAATGGAATGAAATTGATTTGAATTAAGTCGGATTAGCGTTTGTGTTCCTGAAAGCATCCTCCTTCTCTGTCCAGTCCAAGGAATCCTCGTCGGTCCTCAGCTGTGACATCTCCCCCGACGACCAGTTTATCGTGACCGGCTCCGGAGACAAGAAGGCCACAGTGTACGAGGTCATCTACTGAGCCCCCGGATTACCCGCCGCAGCAACCCGGAACCGGGGGGGTTGTGGGGTTGGGTGATGGGCGGAGCCAAGGCTTGTCTCCTGCGCCAATGACTGTACAGAGCATCGGCGGCGTGGGGAAAGGGAGGCTACGCTAACTCTGTTGTTTTGTCCAAGTCTGTGAGAAAGGAGAAAAGATAAAGACGAAGGCACAAAGTCGCATCTCTGGAAAACTGCAAACAGATTTTAATGCTCTGAGAATGCTGGTTAGTCTATG